AGCTTCCAGCTAACCACAAACTGTTTGCATGATGAACAATAATTCGTATAATTGAAGCTCATCAAGAACTTAGAGCGGTTTGCATATTCAGGTTAAGCTTTGTTTTTTTGTTAAGAAGTTTCTGCGAATTAAAACTAAATACAGAGCGTCGCTTTTTTATCTGATAAAGAATTTGACCTTGAATAACCCCGGAACGGTTTGTCGTAGCGGGTCAAAATTTTGAGCAGACGAGCATGTTATTCTCAGGTACGTGTGTGCAAAATTCCAACTCTCTACTTTCAAAAATGCCTCCCCCACAGCCCCCGGAAGGTGAGGCAGTCATAAAAACTCGTTGCAAACTCCGTCTAAAAAATTCGGTCTCCGCAGAAAAATTTTGTTTTCAAGTATCCGACCCCAAATAAGTCCATTTGACTTATATCGGGGGACTATACAGGTATTTCACTATTCGAAATGATTTTTATCCCCAATCTAGCTTCGAGGTCCTTTGCATTATCTTGGGTCAACTTTGCCGTCTGGGAAGACGCTGCGTCATGGTGAAAAATTATCTTAATTATTTTTTTACCGTGCAATTTAGTAAAATTTTATTCTAAAAGTGGTTTCAATACACGGTCCACATAATGCTTCGAAGATTCCTTCACTTTTTGGGGGACTTTGATAAGTGGGAGGACACCACGACCCGACATTGCACCCACGACTTGTAACAAAAGTTCTCCTTTTTAGGCTGGACGGGTACTTAAGTTTGCAACGAGTTTTTATGACTGCCTCACCTTCCGGGGGCTGTGGGGGAGGCATTTTTGAAAGTAGAGAGTTGGAATTTTGCACACACGTACCTGAGAATAACATACTCGTCTGTTCAAAATTTTGACCCGCTACGACAAACCGTTACGGGGTTATTCAAGGTCAAATTCTTTATCAGATAAAAAAGCGACGCTCTGTAAATATGTTGCCGGAAATGTTCGTGCAGACTGCGGGAGGAAATGGACGACACTATAATTCCGTTTCCATGACAGTTTCGACATTGAAGGATGCCAATCAATTTTTTTGCTTTTGTGGGGCTAAGATAGGTGCATATATAAGTGTCGCATAGTGCTTAAGATTACTCTAAATATTAATTTACATATACTAACTACTTAGAATACCCATCGGCTCTTTGCGCCTTCCTACATTTTATATTTCATATTTATGATGATAATTAAATTATTATGTGCGCTGGGTGCTTATCGATCACCGGTAAAATTATGTGTCGCTTAAAAATATCTACAGTGTGCGTATGAACCGAGTTAATATCAGAGTTCAGGATTCGTTTGGATCTTTCGAAGCTATGTATGAATGAATTTTTAATAAATGTGTCACGATTCTGGTTCAATACCCGCTATATTATATCACCCACAAGGTTTTGGTACCTACGATTTTCCCCTTGCGAAACGTGGAACTTGTTTAATACGACTTGATTTGCATACTTCGCAAAATTTATTTTATACTGAAGGGGTTCAGAGTTGATTTTTACACTGCATACTTTAATTATGAAATAAATATTTGCTAATATGCCCTTTTATTACGATTACCGTTCGTATTCAACGAAGTAAATAGTTCTTGCTATATAATGCACTAAATTAAACAACAAAAATTGAATATGTCCATGTTTCTCTTATTACATAACCGCTCCTGGAATAGAAATAAGTGTGAATTGGAAAACTCGAGAAAATGAAGGAATTATACAAACAAACAAATCATCACATCAATTAAAACGCAACAAGACTTTTCAGTGCACAGTTATGTAACCGAATTCAAATTGGTACTTGTGTAACAGAGTGGGTGAACTAAATTCAATTTAAAACAACAAACTTTATTGCCTAATACGTCCTACGTAAGGATGACTAACTACCTCCGCTTAACAATTAACGACGTGTTTCTTATCAAGTTCAAACTGGGATATATTCCAGGAAGGAACGAATGATAGTTACGTAAAGATAACTATTCTTCGTTTTCTTCGTGTTAAGTGACTCCGCAAAAGCATTGACCTGCCAACTCGAATGGTCTTAGGATTAGGTAAATTATTAGCTCACCCTGCGTAGCATGAGAGCTATTGAATTCCTTTTGTCCGTCCGTCCGTCTGTCTGTGTGTTCACGAGTTTTTTGCATCAATTGATGCTAATTAATAATCCCCTTGACCATTATGGAATAAATTAGGCGCACCATTGGTATCGAACAATCCTGCCGCAAACGGTGCGAATTAATTGTGTAAATGGATCGAGAAAGCCCTACAATTTTGGAATAAGTAGCACCGTTCGTATTGAACAGTTGGTTATCCAAGCTGATGCGAAACAATTGGATGGGCATCAATTGATACTCACTAGAATGGATCAGGTCCATTTTGTCATAAATTAATAGCACCGTTGGTATCTGACAATCGGAAACACCAAATGATGCGAAAGAATTGGGGGCTTTGATGCATAACGCACCAATAGTGCATACTACTCGGCGGATTTTATTTGACAATTCTGACATAAATTTTTCAAAATTATCGGTGATCGTTGGTAGGTAATTCTGCACCAGTGATGCACAATTTTTGGACTTTCCTCGATGCATAATAATTATTGATCTATGTTGTTTAATTTTTCTGCACCATTGGTGCAATATTGCATAAACATTATTGATCTACTTTGTTGGATTTTTCTGCACCATTGGTGCATAATTGCCAAAAAATTATGTATCTATTTTGTTGCATTTTTCTGCACCTTTGGGGCAAGTTATAACCACATCATTATTACAGGGTGAGCTACTTCTAACGTTACTACGGTTTATTTAAAGATGATTTTAAACGCTTATTACGAAATGCGTACACATTCAAAATATTTATATCGTGACTAACTGAATGGCAGATCTACTTATGTAAAGGGTGTTAATAAAGTCCGATCCCATTTTTCCTATAAAAAAGTGAAGGCTAGTATAAAAAAAACTACCCGTGATACTTACAAAAAATGTTCGACATATTTACCTTAGTATTTGGTCTTGTTACCATTTACTTTAACCATGCCCTCAACTCTTTGTTTAAGGCTCTGTGCTAATTTTTCCAATGTGTCTGTGGGAATCGAATTCCATACATCTTGAACTTTTTTTACTAGCTCTTCCCTCGTCCGGGGTTGTGGTTCTTTGTATACATTTTCCTTAAGTATGGACCACAGGTTCTCCAGGGGATTCAAATCTGGGCTGTTTCCGGGCCACACCCCCTTGCTCCAGACCGTTGAAACTTGCGTCTTGATGAGACTCAAACTCGCTTTTGCTGTATGGGCTGTAGCACCATCCTGCATGAAAACTATTTTTCTTTCATTCGGAAATATTTCCTTGTTCCCCATGCTATCGAAATAGATAGGTAATATTTTTTCCATATAATACTTTGCATTGACTGTTTGGCGTTTTGGTATGATATGTAGAGGAGTCACGCCACGTGCACAAAATCCACCCGCTACCATAACTTTAAGCCCGAATTTTGGGACTACTCTTGATGGTACATCCGATTTGTTTTCTGTCCTGTAACGAACATTTTGTTGGTTCAATTTTGGATATAGCTCAATAATAGATTCGTCAGTCCAAAGGATGTGACTGCGCAATTCTTCACCAAGTCTTTTTTCACTCAAATGGCCACTTTTCTGAAGGAGTTCTCCAAATTTCAGACGGTCATCGATATTTTTTTGTGACATGAGAGGTTTTTTGGTTAGTTTGTAAGCTGTGTGACCCCACCTCGTAGATTTCACAAATTTTTGCACGGTCACATAGTTAATTTGCTTCTTCTTCTCTTTATAGCGTTTTGAGTCATTTAACTCCCTTGCACAATTACGTAATGAACTACCGGTTTTCTTGTAAAGTCTGTTTTTAATCATTCTCTTTGTGGTAGGTGACACCTTTCTGGGTCGCCCGGGTCGCTTTTTGTCGTGGACAAAATTTTTGTTCTTCCATTTCCAAACAGTTCTGCGGCTGCAGCCCAATTTTTGCACAATTTCTGCAGGTTTAAACCCCTGCTGATGCAATGTTTGTATCTTAACTCTAAGATGCTCATGACTTACACGTTTAGTTGTTCCTCCCATGGTAAAAATTTGAAATAAATAACTTCACTGGTTCAAAAGTTCCAGCTGAATTTGTAACAACCGCGCTCCAAAAAATTCATGGGAACGGACTTTATTAACACCCTTTATGTATTTCCAACAAAGTCAACAACTTCCCATCGTTGTTTAATCTAAAGCCCTAAATACATATTTATCTGTTAAGATTGTGGGTGATTATCTGTTACATATGAAGTAAATTGGTGTTGCTATCTGTCTAGCTTAAGAGACAAAGTGGCGAATTAGTAAATGTATGAATTGTTTGTGCAAGATATATAAAGTTCAAATTTAGCTTGGTATTTACCCATTCACTTTATAGCTTTGAAAAAGTTGACAATATTGCATGGCAACGGTCCACGCCTAGAAATGAATCTCATTCCGAAAACGACCCAAACGCTGATTCACAGATCACTTAGATTTTCCTTGTTTTGGCACACTCTTCCCTTTCAAAGAAACAAAGTAAGGTTTTTTAAAAAAAATAATAAGTTCGTAGGAACGTTCATGAATTGCGGCTACATATTTACAAGGAAATTTACTTCAGGTATTAACCTCTTTCGTACTACTGGTTTTTTTAATAAACGTTCATTTGGGTACTATGTTGGTTTCATAATTATAATCGATAGTAAATTTTCACTTCTTCGCATAGAGTTTTCCTCCAAATTCTGTAGAAATACTTGGTTTTGAGATATTTTGTTGCCAGGATAGTTTGTATACAAGACACATATGTATGTGTGCTTCCCTTTAATCAAATTACTACACAAATAGGTGTATGCATCCTCGAGAAATTAATGTAATAATGTGTCACGCAATTCTGAACCTTCCTTAAGAATAATTTACTTAAATTTCCTACTAGATTCCAATTATTTTCGTAATTTGTTGTAATCAAATTTAGGAAAATTCCACTCCCATCTATAAAACTATCTTTACCAAGCCAATCAAAAAATCAGTCCATTTATGGCTCTTGTGCGGATTCAACCTACTATTCCAAATATGTGGCGCTTCTTTCTCCACGGTTCGAATGGTGTACGCTCTCGCCATTGTAGGATTTGATCACGTCCCAATTATTGATCTTGGTTTGGTCACTTATCAATCGGTAGGGTTTGGAGTAAATGCTATTATTTTGACCTTGATTTGGTGGAAAGATGACGAATTTCGAGGATTGCTTAACCTATTGGTGACCCCAAGCAGAAGGAATAAGGTACAAACCGCTGCGAAGGATACTTTCTCTCGACTGATTCCATGGGTCATTCCAGCAGTTTATGGGCAATCTATGTGCAATTCATTCCTCTTCGTGAAAAGAAGGGACAGCGTGCAGTACGTTTGGGGACTGTTGGATCCTGACTGGAAAAATAAGTACACTTTGGGATTCATAAGCGTTTATGAGTTTCTAATTCCTATGAATAGTTGGAATGTTGCATTATTCGTGTTTTTCACGTACTCGTCGTACACACATTTTGTTGGGATTCATTTGAAGAAGCTGGGGTAAGAATAATAAGATTTGGGTTAAGGGTTCCTTTCCAATAAGGTGTTTTTTTGTCGGTTTTGCGAATTTAAAAAGTATATCCCTTCCACCCTAAAACACTCATGTGCTTCCAATCTTATTCTTAAATACTGTTTCCTTACAATAATGATTTCCTCGTGACCATCAAGGCAAATTATAATCGGAAATTGTATCGTACAACGGTTTTATTTTAATTCTATTTTTTCAGGGAATTTCAAAGTACTATGCGTAACCCGCCATCTAGTGGAAAAGTCTGCCGTAATTATGCCATGTCATACCGGCAACTACAAATCACGACCAATCTCCACCACGCCTGTTTCGGGGAGTACGTCATACCTCTGGCAGTAACGGTTTTGCTCTTTCTTGACTCATGGATGACCTTTGCGACCTTCAAGCTGGCCAAAAGTCCACTGATATCGATATCGGAGCCGTCATTTTTCATTTTTCCCCTGGGAACGTTTGCCCTCTTCATTGTGGCTTTTTGCTTCAATGGGGCGGGACTATTGCTATTTGAGGAGTCGACTCGATTAGTGGAAGAATACGAGAAGAGCAGGATGATGCGGAGGACGAGATTGTGTCAGAGTTTGAAACCACTTAAGGCTCAAGTGGGCTCATTTTATTATTTTAAGAAAATTTCTCTTCTACTGTTCGCATCAAATGTGGTTGGCCTGACGATTAATTTGTTGCTTACGTTTTAGCAGTTTATACATAAATTTAGGTATTTGTAAACCATACTGATGTAATTTTGAATAATTATCTAAACATGCTGTTTACATAAATGCTAGTTAGCATAATTCGTAAATTGGGAAGGAATTAGGAAGAGCTAACCCTAGGCGAGCGAGAACAAAAAACTACCGGAGAAACGAAATTAGGAACTTGATGACAAGAAATTATCCTTCCTGAATGCTTAAAAATCATAAAAAACTCATTGGATACCTATGTACATTAGATTTTATTGGTACATTGCTTTTTGTATGCATGATTATTACCAATCCTGAATTATAACTTATTATGTGAAATGGAGTTATGGTATTTATGCAATAAATTTTATATGCAAAGCTTTTTATGCAATTTCACATGGAACCTATGTTGTTACTTATTTACCTGTAAGGTAGAGTAATTGGTGCATATTTTTTGGTGGAATGCATAAAATGATTCAGTATCTCGGTGTTTAAGATTTCTTTAAATGCTTTAAATAGATTTATAGATTTGCATCCTCACTCACCTCACTCACATACCTATTTGCCCTCAAATGAAATTCATACTCATGATATTCATATTATATGATGTAAGAATTGTCTATATGCCCACATTTTTTATCCGTTTTATTTTAGAACCATTTAATTGCATGCATGACCTATGTACACAGAATTAAACTGTTTTTATATGTCTCGTAAACAGATATTACTTTTAAGAGAAACTAAATCCGGGTCACATAACACAAAAATTATTGTTAATTTCGTACGGTTTGAGAAAGCTCTGACACCTTCAGCTTAACTTTCATCCAAACTTCAGCCGTTTCGGAATTTTAATTCTCTTAACGACCTGAACTAAAGCTTGTACATATAACCGGAAGCTATCAACGGCCTTATTTAAACACGACCGACAAAAAATACTTAATTTAACAGCTGCACTAACAATCTTCAGGATCACAATTACAATTTTCCGCCAAACGAGGGTATGAAATTCAAAAAGGAAAAATCCAAAGGCTACCAAATTTAGGCACAATATCAAAATAAATAATGTAACAATTCCCCCGTTCATCCCGACAGATTCCAACTTTTCTTTAACCGTCACCTTTCCAACAAATCGTTTTTCTTTTATGATTTTCCTAGCTGTAATTTCTACTAAAAGTCTTCTATAAATCCCAGACTCAAGCATGGCCCAATAACTTCTCGACACTGTCTGAAGCCTTCCCTCCTTCTCCACCATCCATCCAATGATGTGTCCGCTCAGGATATCTCTCCCTTTGTGAAAGTCAATCCAGAAATATCGTTTTCGAAGATACTCAATCTCCGCATCAATTAAAGACGGATCTCCGATGTAAGCGGTCTTAGCACACGACACAATCTCCTTTTCTGCCGCATATTGAACATCTTGTAGACCCGGCCTTCCCGCCAACCTCGGTCGCAGTGCGTGGCTTGGATTAAAGAAATCAAGGAGGAGTCGAACATTTGATATACGTAGGGCGCTTAATATCTCCATTTCCCTAAACTCTGCATACCACATGTACAAGTAATCTTCGAAGCTGTAGATTATCCGGCCTTCATGACGGCCAAGGGACGCAGGTGACAGTAAACGAAAACACGAACTCTTTTCAGGAAACGACATGTTGGATGACTTCTGATAGAAATTTTCCAAGTAGCTGAGAACTTCCTTCAATCTGGATGAAACTTTTTCACCAGATTTTTTAAATCCTTCGCTACGAAATAGTCTTACATCTTCTACACTGCAAACCAAATCGGAAAATGTTTTTGGAATGTTTCGTACCATTGGTGCATTTAATTCTGTTACGAATTTTTTGTAAGTATGTACCAAAATCTGAGCGAGAAAGACTCCAAGAAGGCCTGACTACATTTCAACGGGGAAGGGTGTGGCCGTATAAAAATTGAAACATGCATAAGAAAGTATGGAGAATCCGAAAATGTAAACTTCAAATGACCACCATTTGAAAAAAACCATCATATCGACCCCTCAAAAGTTAAAAACGATTGAATCGTTTTTTGAAAATTATCCATCCACGTCGGCGCCTGATGCGGCCATGAAGTCAAAGATAAATCCAAACTACTTGTATCATATTAAGGCCCATAAAATGGGGGTTAAAACATATGCAAAGAAATCTCCAGCAAAACATACGGGAACTGAAGAAAAAATAGTAATCGCACGACCTCCCAAGCTTTCCAACAAAATCTCACCAAAAAAGTTGGTCACTGACGATGAATCATACGTTCTTAAAAACGTGGCACAAACTCCAGGAGGGCAATTTTCTTATGGGAAATATATCTCCCAACTGAAAACTGAAGAGAAATTAAAATGTTTTTCGAAATATCCCAAAAAATCTCAGGTTTGGCTGGCGTTCCGTCAATTTGGGCATGTTTCGGACCCCCCATTTCAGAAGGGCTGTGGGGACGCACAGGTTTGTTTTCGGAAATGTATGATAGACCGCCTGATTCCTTTCATCAATGAGTATCAAAAAATATAAAATGTAATTTTTCGGACCGAACTTGGACTAATCCACAATCGAACAACTATCAAGGGAGAATCGAAAAAAAATTCGGTTTGACGTCGAAAAATGGAAACCCTATATACATCCCTCATCTTCGACCAATAAAAAAATGACGGCTATGTGTAAGAAGGAATACTCCCAGCTTTGGGAAACAGTCGATGATTCAAAAAAGTTTTGGTTCCTGGGGCAGAAAATTAGCATTGAAGTTGCAAAGTCTCCCAAAAAAACAGTAATGACGGACGTGATGAAAAACGTTAAATATGAGATGGACAACATACTTTTGTCTTCTTTGTTCGCGGATATGGGTTGTCAGATATATTTATAATATTGTATCAAAATTTGAGACTTTTGGAATTATTTCTTGACCTTTTACGGGACAAAATATCCAAGTGTCTCAATACTTTTTCTTACCCCTCTAGGTATACGAGATATGTATGTCTTCAAGTAAAACTTGATAGTGTATTCAAACAAATTACCAATATTTAGCTAGATTAGCCCGTTTAAATAAATTGTACTTAATCATCGAACAATATGTGAATTATCTACTTAAGTTATTCTGATAATGGGCGTAGATAAGGTGTATGATCGAATTTTGGAGAAATTAAACCGTATCCTTCTTTCTGATATGCATGACGTATCTATATTTTTCATGTTATAATTAATACACTAAATAAATTTCATTAAAATTTACTCAATTTTGAGTAAAATTGCCACCAAAGCAACTATTGAGTAAAATTTACTCAAGGTTGAAAGATTTTTGCTCAACCTTGAGTAAATTTTACCTTTGTAAGGATAAATTTTACTCAATAGTTGCTTTGGTGACAATTTTACTCAACTTTATTTACAGTGTATGGGAAGGATTAGATGCCTTGGCCAGTACTACCCTTCAAATTGATCACACCCCTTCTGCACAATCCCTTAGACACATTTAATTATGTACAAATCGATTATCAAACTTTCATGGAACCACAAATTGTCTGGATGGTTAACTGTAAATTATGCGTAGAATTTAAGCTCATTAAAAACTTAAGATTAGGGCGGCTTGCATATTCAGGAAAAGCTTAAGTTTTGTTAAGAAGTTCTTAGGATTAAATATATGTGGAGATGTTGTTCGTGTAGGTGGAGGGGTCAGCAGTGTGTCAAATGACGACAACGCCATCATAATTTTTATTTTATAGTTTGCAAGAATATTACCTATGTACGTATAATGCACCTGTTTTTTCTTGCGTGGCGATCATATGAATGTATACACTTGTGCTGAATATTAATTAATGTTAGATCTTAAGATAAGGTTATGAAAGAATTTGCTACGGAATGAAATACAAAATCAGCACAAATCTACCCGAATATATTACGCATGGTCCCTTGACTAAATACATAGTTGGATAATTTCTAATGACAGTTCAGAAGTTCTCAAATTTTTTAATTGTACATTTTTAGTAAAATTTTGAATTTTCATTTGAATTTTTAGTGGTGACTTGTGCTGGGAGAGTTTGTTTATCAAAAAAATACTCGGATCTGTCATAAATATGTAGCAAACGATTAATTTTAATTGCTAATTAAAATATTTATTGTTTAAGATAAAGCAATTATCATTGCACTAAGAACGAAATCGACATCGGAATCTAAAAATTATTAGTTTATATATATTCTAGGATATCTAAATCTATATTGATAGTGTATTAATGTTTTTTTGGCAAAAGTTCCCTTCACAAATCACCCATGCTCCCAAACTTTAAGACCTACATATGTATAAAACAAATTTTGAGAACTTTTTGACTAACATGATCTTAGAAATTGTCTAAGCATACAGTTAATGAACCTTGGGATTACGTAAAAGAAACTATACTTTACATAAAATGGTTGTGCGTTATGTTTATTTTTTTTAAGTCAATTCACAATTTGGATAAGCATCATGATCAAGTTTGTCACCAATATGTGAATCTAGACTATTATTGCAGCGCAGTTTCTTTATCGAGGAAACACGAGCTCTAAAATCTACATAAATACGTCGTATTTGTTTATAAATAAAGTTCAATGAGTAATTAACTTGTCAATGTCGCACACCTGTGGGGAAATATAGATAACTTGTTATCATTATATCATCTCATCCTTAAACATTGAACTGCAGACTTGACACGAAACTCGGAAAACATCCAACACTGCGTAGTGTACATATTTAATTTTGAGGACAACGATTTCAAGTGTTTATTATTCAGTTCAAGTTGTTGATAATGATTTTCCTGACATAATCATAACATAATAGTTGCAATATTGTAAACAAATTGGGTATAAAATGACTTGAATTATGACCAATTGTATCAGTTCAAATCATTCATACGACCAAACCGATACAAAGCAAATAGCTAAATCAAAACCAGCATAAACGTTACCCTAAGTAAATAACTAAATACATACTGCACAAATAAATAAAATCTCAGAAATGTCTTCAAAATCGTAAGTTTCCAATATTACGTAAATTGGTTTGCAAAAATCCAACTAACCAATACCATTTGATTTGCTAGCCTCATTACTTTCATGGTCTTGATATGTGTGGGGTCCGTGTTAGCTGGGAAAGCACTTCCTGTCGCGGAGATCGTTGCCCCTGGAGGATTTAATGACACGATAACAGAGGGTCTTGCTGACTGGTGCTGTCCCCTTCATGTGAGTAGAAATATGCAAATTGTTAATAACTATCTACCAATTTGTCGTAACGTGTGTATGATTAATTTCCATGCAGTGTCCGAATTGCCGGTGTCCAGAATGGGCGAATTGGTGCTATGTTTCTGGAGGAGTTTGTTGGTGTGCTGCGTAGTAAATTCTGACTGGTTATGTATTGTTATTTTTCAACCTTTTGTAATTTTATATTGTTTACCTGTATGATACCGTGTACATATTTATGAGTAATTAAAAATATATATGAACTAATTTTATAATGCGATAATTTCTTAATCGGATTTCGGATCGGATTAATTTCTAGATTAATAAATATTTAAATATTGTGGGTACAAGTCCAACCAAGTTTTTGTAATAGTTCCCAGATAATGATTTCTCTTAGGTATGACCACTGAACACACTTGAAGACGAACCAAGCTAAAGTTTTATGTACATTTTGTCCACTTTTCATTCATCTGTTAAGAACACTTATTTATGAAAAAAATTTGGTCGAATGGTCAAAATTGATTATATTTATTTTAAAATTGCCGACCTAATCTACACATTTGTTGAGTGAGTGAGGTCAGTTACATGCACATATGCAAATATTTATGCAAATATGCAAATATTTATGGATGTAAAGATGAGAAAAGCAACCAAGGACAACTTAAGGAGAACCGGTTTAATCTTTGTGACTAATCGCATTAAATGAGGCACGTATGCATTTCTACAATTTGGAACATATTCTTATCTACTTGTTACACAATAAAAATTCACCTGGCAAATATAAAGTCAAAGCTTTGAAGCCTTCAAATTGAAGGTGATGTATGCATTTTTCTGCTTGCTACTTTCCTCCCCTTTTGCATATGTACATAGTCCGACCATAAGTTCCCGTGAATGCATTTCCGGTGATAAAGCCCAAAGTATTAGAGCTATCTGATAGAAATTTTTGTGAATGAACAAGGTATTAATCTTGTTTAGAAATCATAACTTCGTTTTCACAATTACCTCCACGGGCTTGTACACAAGACATAAGTCATGGCGAAAACTGCTCGATCGCGGCACGCACGGATTTCCTGGGAAAAGCGCCAGATCTTCAGTAAGTGCGACCTCAGCCCTTCCACACTTGGGTGAAATTTAGAGCATACTTGTACCTATAATTTTGACCACCAGTCATAATTTAGGGGATTAAGGTCTGCAGATACTGAGCACCGTTCTATGGATGAAATGGCTTCAACTTGTACCCTTTGCGATAAAAAACAGAGATTTCATTTCTCCAGCCAACTTGCTCCCATGCACACCACGGTGATGACTTCGTATTGACTTCCGCATACTTAAACGGATGTCAGACTTCTGTACAACAAATATCTGGCCTTTTTTTCTATTAAATTTTTTGCCAACGGTGAAAAGTCTGAAATACTTTTGGCACGAAAATTGGTGCGTACCACGATCAACCTGTGGCCGTCACGAGTTATGTCTTGTCTAATTGCCCGTGGACGAAATCTTGACAAAGAAGTTATGATTTCTAAACAATATTAATAGCTTCTTAATCCATAAAAATTTCGAACAGATAGCTCTAATACTTTGGGATTTATTACCGGAAATGCATTCACGAGAACTTATGACCCCACTATGTACATAGGTCAGATTCAAACAATCTTCAAGCCTACAATCTAATCTACCAAACTACCAGACCACTAAACTTGATGAAATTTGATGCATCTAAGAACTGATAAAATGTACCTGCCCCTTTATAAGATCATTCATTGCTTCACAAACGGTCTGGAGGAAAAATCATATAAAATTAGTTGTGTCATATAACTAAATGAAAATGATGGGTTTGCTAAATTTTTCGTTGCTCCTGGTCTTCGTATTGTCGGTAATTATTTACTTATTTTCATCTTCTAAATAATAAGCACTAGACACATTTAAACCATATATTACTTAATATTTTTCATAGATTGTCTCCACTGCACCACCTCCGGAACGAAAATGCCGTTCAGTATGGACCGATCTTAATAAAGAAGAGTTGAAAAAAATTGGGATTTGTACAAAAGAACTCGGCTGGAAAAATGGGAGGGAGAAGTCTCAGAAGTCAACGGTAAGAAAATTTCTTGTAAAAATGTATAGTCTTAAGTTTCATGGGGCGAATAGGTAGGTAGGTAGGTATTTATTCAAGATTGATGTAGCATTAGCTTTTACAATCATCATTTTCATTTCATACAAAACATTTAGATAGATATTAGCAGTATGGGTGTAGAGGGAAAACCGGAGATGGTCTCGGAAAACCTCTACATGTATTGGGAATGTGGCCCAATACACCATTCGGCCCATAACTGCTGGACACCAGGTAGGAAAATGTATGGCAGTGATACATAGGCGGATTCCGTGATGGTGGTGATATCCAAATGAGGGTGGCGTCTGCATGCGGAAGTAGACAGGTGAAGGTTGTTGGGCGGGGCTGTCCACGGACCGCGGGATCTTGCCCACGTCCCCCATGGTAGCCGTAGCCGGGGCCGACGACACCCCCACTTGCCCCTTCCCCCATCACAACACAATCAGGTCATGGGACCCCCGTAGACCTGACCATGCCGCCCCCCGTCATGCACGACCCCCTCCGCCACTTTTCAAACAACCACTCCCCACGGTCACCACCCCGATATACCAAACAAAAACCTATTCATGGGGCGAATAAATATGCATGAATTTGTGTCATATTCCAGTGCACCATGAAATGCGTCTTGACCAAGGAAGGTTTGGTAAGGTTGCAGAGAAACTTGTTTAAGAAATAATTATGTAATTAGTTTGCCAATTAAATTAATTTTTTCTAGATCCAAGACGACGGCTTGATAGCACTTGCAAAATATAACTCTTACATTATTGACCACTTTCCACCATCGCTGCTTGAACGGTCAAATTCAACATTTTATCCATGCTTCCAACTCGGTGAAGGTATGTATCTGAGTAAATAATTGCTCGAATTGCTAATAGTATCCAAAATCTGGGTAAATTTCAATGGCATTACTTCACAGGAATAACTGTTGGATCGGATCCAGACTGCAAGGAATACGAGCCGCTAATAAAATGTGTTAATAGACGATTTGCCGATGTACGTTACCATTTTATAAGTGAACCGATTATTTCGAATCTTTAACTGATAATCTGATTTATAGTTATGTAAAGGCCTTCCTTGAGCGAGTGTGTGGGATTTTGTAACCCTTTCAAGACACCTACTTTCTCTTATATACTTACCTATGTATATTACTTACTTGTGTACATAAATATATTAGTACTTTCCACATATTCACGAAACTAAGAATTTTAGTTATACAAGTTATACGTATAATAAATATTGGGCATACTAAGAAAATCCTTTGTCGTACTTATCTCGCAAATTGAGCGTAACTATGTATCTACCTGAATTTTCACCGTTTTGGGAAACTTGTGAAATTTGGCAAAGCTTGCTGAAACAAGATGGAACTTTTGTCTCAAATATGCCCACAACTAGGCATATTTTTAGTTTGCAAACTCATTTATTTCCTCATTGTATAATTAATAGAAACTGGGTAAAAATTCGATGCATAACTCGTAATCCCTTCATGACACAATTTTGTATTCGAAAATTAACTAACCATCTGTAATAATTAGCGCAATTATGTAACCAGTTGCATACCTATGTTCATTATCAAAATCTTGAATAATAATTTATGCCCGGCTGCTTAAGTAACGGACGATCTGCAAAAATGAAAGTGATATCTAACCATCGATCCACTTACGGGTACATATAAATACTTGTTCTTACGTAACACAGCATATTCAGGTACACATGAAGACAAACCACTTCCAGGAGTTTGCACATTAACCTTGACTGTCTGGCTCAATGTTGCACCCTAAAACCAGTATGCATACAAACATTTTTAGCTTTGTGTCTTAGATCGATAAAGGCAACATGTTTTCCAAACCTCTAATTAAAATGAGTATACATGTAAGTTATGTATATGTAAGTTGTGCACATTGTATAAATCCGGTGTAGAAGTACACGACCAGATACAACATTTTTCTAGTTATCTTTACCACAATTTTCAATGCATTTCACAACCTTGGCGTCCCAACCACATCGTCTCTATATAATGAGCTACATACATAATATGTATGTCCAACTTGAGTCCAGGGCTAATAGCTGTATATAAATCCAAACTGTGGCAAAGTTCTGGTCATTCATGTAGTGAAAGTAAATTTAGCGTAATAAAACAGCAGAATAAAAGCAACATAACCAGCCCAATCTGAGTTGAAAAGGTGATAAAAAATGGCCGATAAAATTATGTGAGTAAAAACAATAACAAAGTAAATTATGCACATTGTTATTAATATTTTCGAATATTTTTATAACCTGAGAAGGAGGTCTTTTTTAAACAAATATTTTCATAAGAAAATGTCTTTAACAATTTAAAAGATAGTAACTATAAATTTGTATGTACTAACTATTTTGTAGCGTGCCGAGAAAAAGTAGTCATGGAGGTTACAACATCCCTCATGACAATCCGGCCTATGAAATGGAGACAGGTTTATACGCTACAGGCCACAACGTTACGAACACTGGCATCTCTGCCGCTGTGAGAGTTCAAAATGCCTACAAGACTTTTGGATCTGGTCCTAAAATTCTGAATAATTTGAACATGACTGTAGAAAAGGGAACCATGTGAGTTGATACTATTTATTAACCTCGTGTTTCAAAACATGTCCCATCGAGATCAAGTGCGGCATATCATGTATTTAATAAATCCATTTCATACCAAATTTATCATATGCATCATGTACCTATGCCCCTTGAGGACCAAATATATTTATAAATATATCATGCAGTAAAAAATTCAGAATCCTCAAATTACTCAAAACTAAGAGTATTTCTTGGTATTTTATGGAAAATTCTACATCATTTTTTTTTGGGGGGGGGGCGGGGTCGGACGAGTTCGATGATGGGTCAAGCAACTTTTGATAGTTAATATTTTGCATTCTGTAACTTAATTACATAAGGGGACTTGCGTAACTTATAAGGGGGTAAAAGTTTTGCGTGACAGGCCGATTTACGCCACATTTGAAAAGGGGGTGTAACACGTGACAAGGGGAGAAAGCGGGTCTGAAAAATTTGCATTTTTGTGCTACATAATTTATGGACGTTCCCTAACATGAAATGCCTTCTTCCTTATTGTTTCCAGTTATTCTCTCCTGGGCTCGTCCGGCTGTGGAAAAACAACCCTTTTATCCTGCATTGTCGGAATTCGTAACCTAAATTCGGGAGAAATTTTTGTATTTGGTGCAAAACCGGGTACTCGCGAGAGTGGAATTCCAGGCAAGCGGGTAGGCTACATGCCGCAGGATCTCGCATTGTACAATGACTTTTCGATCAGCGAGGCACTACAATATTTCGCTGCGCTGTATGACATGCGTGGTCACGATGTGAGGGAAAGTCGAGACTTTCTTATCAAGTTTTTAGACTTGCCTAAAGCTGATAGTCGCATAGGAACGTTGAGGTTTGTATATTTGCATGATGCAAATATAAAATTTGGATCCATGAATTGAAATATGATTTGAATTCGCATTTTAGTGGCGGTCAAAAAAGAAGAGTTTCTCTAGCACTTTCTGTAAGTACAAATATTCCAGAACTAACTTTTATTAGTATTTTATTATAATTTTATATTATCATTTTATATTATAACAATTTATTTTATTGCGTAGTTAATTCATTCTCCTGAACTGCTCATCTTGGACGGTAATAATTTGAGCCAATATATAGTTAAGATTATGATGATGTATGTACATAACTTACTGATGACCCCATTTTCATGAAAAAGAACCTACTGTTGGGGTGGACCCGTTATTGAGGGAAAAGTGAGACTAATTAAACTAATTGACTACTTCTAAAGATATCATTTTGTTAAATATCATGACCCTATTTGTCACAGGATTTGGGAGCATCTCTTATGTCTCGTTGCAACAAGGAAGACTACCATTCTGATTACTACTCATTATACGGAGGAAGCGTGTTCATTAAACAAGGTATGTACTATGCATGTAATTATTGCAATCATTATATTGCAAATTACATGTGTATATGTAGATCATCAATACTACAGGATCGCTTAAAAGTCTCGTTACAATTAGTTTTGCCTCTGAAATCATCATTTTAAGAACTTTGGCACTATGCTTCATCAGTTTAGATAGATGTTAAATGATCAATAAAAATCTCAATTCCAAATCTTCGTACTTTTATGAGATTTATGGGATTTTCCCTTTGCAAAATTTTCCATGGTACCGAGACATTTAACCATATTTTTCCACACTGATCGGACTAATGCGAGGTGGACGCCTCATCGCAGAGTCCACCCCACAAGAATTGTTGGACAAACATGCAACCAACTCGTTGGAAGATATTGTTTTAAAATTATGTCGAAATGACGATATGAATGAGGACAATCAAAATTTACGGGATATACCAAATTGTACTTTCATTAAATTTCTTGTCGATAAACTAAATTTAACTTAACTCGATTCATTTGTTTTAAATACAGCTGTACCTAACTCTGCTCAAGAAATAGACGTCTCATTCCAAGCAAAACCAACTTCATCTTTCCAACGGATAAAGGCCTTAGTGGGCAAGAATTACGTGGTCATGACGAGGAACGTGCTTCTCCTATTGTTCATGATGTTTGTCCCCGCGTCACAATTATTTCTCATGGGTTTGGCTCTTGGAAGCGATCCTAAGTATGTTCCATTTCATTAATAAGTCTTGCCTAACTAGAGACTGAGAAATCCCTAATTAATCCTTAATCTCAATGTTTAATCCCAAGTTTTATCATTTTAATCCTTAATCCCGTTTCCTAATCCAACTCTATCAATTTTGATCCAAAAGATTTGGATCCACAGGATTTGAATGGCATTACTTAAACTGGGATTAAATTTGCGTTGACTGAAAATTTGAAAAGCTAACTTCTATTGATGTCGCTTCCTGTTCGAAAATTGATTGCATTTTGTTCATTTTTATCAAACATGTCTGAAATGTTCAAAATATTTCTTATTCCTATATCAAGTTAAGATAAAAGATCATGACAAAGGTATTGGACCGCCCCTTAAGACGCGCGCCGGGCGGGAACACAGCGAAATTAAATTCCGAAAAAATTATTTTTGAATAGACCAAGTTATAAGCTTTCCATTGATATATGTCACCAATTATTGAGTCATGGCTAAGACTAGAAAAACTTGGGTTGAAAGGCAAGAGTTGGGAAAAAGAGTGATTGAGTTTCATAAAAATCGAACAAACTATGATTCTAAAATCACTTGGCAATTTTTCTAGCAAGAAGGTATTCCTCATTCAAATGTCAATTCTTACATACAAAAGTACGAGGAATCCAATAAAGTCAAATTCAAAGTCCCTACTGGTCGACCTGCAAAGCTAGCGACGACAAAAGTCTAAAATCGGATAAAACAAATTTAAAAAAATCATTCATCAGCGCCAACGGCTGGCACGACAAGGAACGTCAAGATTTCAAAAACCTATCTGAGCAAAATCAAAGTCCATAAACTGGGGATTATAGCAAGGGCAAAAAAACCAGCACCAAATTACAAACCAACACAACAGTAAAGGATTCATACGTGCTGCAAGAAATTGTTGAAGAAAATTTGGGGAAAAGTAGTCATCACAGACGATGAGCCCCACGTCACAGCTAATCCTTCAAATCTTCCAGGAAGGCATTTTTTCCATAGTTCCAACCCCTGTGAAGTAAAATATGACGACAAAGTCCAAAAGAAAGACCAATTCCGAAAAAAATGAAGAATTTGGCAATGCATGTCTAGCATTGGTCATGTTTCCGATCCCGTCATTTTGGAGAGTACTGTAAATCATGGGGTTTATCTTAAATCATGAATTAAAGGGGGATTGGAATCGTTTATTACCAAAGATCATAAAAAAATAAAGTTTTGTTTTGGCATGACCTCGCAAAATCCCATGACGCCAAAATGGTCACTCAGTACCGACATCTGAAAAAAATTGAATTTGTGGCAAAAAATGGAAACCCACCAAATTTTCCTCAACTGCGACCAATTGAGAAATTCTGAGCGCTGACTAAATCCAAATATTCTAAGCTTTCAGAAACGGTACACACCTTACGAAAATTTAAGAACAGATTGAAGAAAATCAGCTTGAAAGTAGGTTCAGCCTATGGGCGGAATTTGGTGCGAAATCTGAAGAAGAAAATGCTAACTGTAGCAGACAGCGGAATTGAATCGTTAAAATTTGAACTGTATGGCAATCCAGACCCTTTGGTAGTAAACATATGCAATTTTTGTGAAATTGCATTAACTGTGTAAAAAGTTCTGAGCATTTTATTGCGCCGGTCCAATACCTTTGTCATGATCTTTTATGTGTTTAATTAGTTTAAAAGCCTGGCATAATATAATTTAATGCGAAGCACTTTATCCATATTACATAGTTCCTAATCCAGGAAAACTACCCAAAATTTAATCCCGTGTTAATCCTATTCCTACATTAAGTTCAATCTCTAATCCAAATCCTTAATTCCAAAATCTTAATAATTAACCCTTAATCCCGAATCTTAATCCAAGATTTTAAAATTTAATCCCCAATCTCAATCCTTAATCCGGATATCTTTAATCCGCCAGTCTCTGTGCCAACAAGTAAAAACAATAAATTACCCGTAATCTTTACCTTTCAGGCCTATGTGGATGGGAGTCGTGAATCATGAAACGAATTTCACTTCCTGCCCGACATTATCCTTAGCGGACAATAAAACTGAAGACGAATGCGACGTAGAGAACTTAAGTTGCAAATTTCTGGCGAAAATCCCTACCGATACGATTTACTTGGTGCGAAGAATATGTTTACATGACTTTGAAAATTTGTTAATCTGCATTCTAATCCTCTTGCCAGAGAGATTACGGATCCGCCGAGTTAGCTAGAGGAGCGGTGAAAGCGGGAAAAGCATGGGGCTTCTTAAATTTCCCTAAAAATTTCTCGGATGATTTATACGAACGTGCGACAGGGGGAAACACCATTGAAAATGAAACCCTGCAAGCATCCTATGTTCATGTGGAGATGGACTACACAAGTATTTACTTAACATAGTATTTTTTAAATTATTTGTGGACAAGGTTTACTGACCCTGGGTTTTGGTGGGTTGGGGTTTTTGGATTTCACTGGATTTTTTGCTAAAAGTTAATGCGACAAGTTAAGCGACACAATTTGCAGGCACGAATTACCTCAGAATTAACTTATCCGAACAGTATTTTTTCAATTTGTACATTTCATGGCCAAAAATTTAACTTTGATCGTTTTCCCAGATAACGTTCATAAAATACCTAGTGCAAAATTTGCGATTTTTTTACGCTACGTATTTTATGAACCTTCCTTTACTTTGTCCCAAGGATAAACCCCGTTAAAACCTAGCAAAACTCTGTGGGCAGTGTTTTTAAGTAAAACCTAATTAAAATAGTACGTAGTCCAATTTCGTTCATGTCACTTGCAGATAAACAAATCTCTTCTGCCATAAAAATTGAGGTGTATGACGCGTTTGAAATATTCCTGAAAGACGTACTAACTAAGTGTGGATTTTACAAGGAATTAGCAGAATCACCGATTCAGGTAAGTCAAAAGTTCAGTTCTCTTCTAAGCCTGGGTAAAATATTTTGTCCAAAGTCGAAATATGCAGAGTATTGTGAGCTTCGTTCTTCCAAGGGCTTAGATTTCCAGGGCAAGAAGTTGAAATCGAAAACAAGTAATTATATACATACACGTTCTTTGACGTGATTATTTTTTTATTGCTGTCGAAATTTTTTACGAAACGTGAAAACAATGTTAACCTTTACACGATAAAAAGTTAATGACTTTACAAATTTCTAAATAAACAGAAATTTTTTAATAGATTCTCGACTTTGTTTTAGTCGTGAAAATCCAAGCCATTAGAATAACACTTCAAAATAATCTATCTCGACAAAATATTTTGCCCATCTCTGCTCTTTTACCATGTTGATCTTTAAAATTTTTCCCTCAAGTATACCGGTCCCATTTATGGCAAGGATGACACAGATTTTCGGGAATTTATCTCCGCAAGCATACTATGCTGGTGAGAGCTGGAAACTTATCTAATTTTATCAAAAATCGATACATTTTACATCCTAGATTTCATTTCCAGCGTCGTTGTATTCTTTCCCCTCTGCTCCACTGGAGTCTCATATATTTGGGATAAAAAACAAAAAACGTTGGAGCGAAGTATGGTTGCTGGCGTGTAAGAAGAATCACTTAAAAAATAATAATTTTTTAAATCTAGTAAACGTGTCACATTTCAGGCAAAGTTGGGAAGTCATGACATCAGTTTTTCTAACGGAAGGGATCGTAGTCGTGATCCAGTGCATTTTCTCATTCGCCATACTTATATTTTATTTTAATATTGAGATCCTGGGAAGCACTAGCTTAGCAATTGGACTCATGTTTATGGTGGGATTGGATGGAGTGACACTGGGTTCGCATCATTTTGATTTACACTCTAAATAAAAATGGGTAAAATTTACGCAAAGTTGAGTAAAATTGAAGATGATCTTACAACAATTGAGCAAAATTTATACGACACTGGGTAAAATTTGTCCCAAATTTGTCCAATGTTTGTGTCATCCTCTATTTTAGGTACTTAACCTTGAGTAAATTTTACGCATTTTGATTTGGAGTTAATTTTAAAATACTTCGGACTCAAAGTCATCTCCATGTCTTACAGGATTTCTGGTTGCTTCTTTCTGTGATGAAGAAATTGAAGCCGTGATGATTGCGATAGCTACATTTTTTCCAAATATGATTCTTGCAGGTTAAAATTACTATATGAGTAATTAAACTAAGTAAAATTTTACCCCACAATTTTAAATTTTCAGGAGTTTTGTGGCCCACTGAAGGGCTACCCATTGGACTGCAGTACGTTTCATACCTCCTCCCAAGCAAACTGGCGTCAGACTCGATGCGTTCGATCATAAGTCGCGGATGGGAATTTTCACATATCGGAGTTTGGCCTGGTTTTGCAGTAACGGCGGCGTGGATTGTTGCGTGTTGGTTGTTAACATTGTGGATTCATAAGGTTAGGTTTGCACGCAGGTAGGTGATAGCCCTGCGATTTTTTTACTTCAATAAAATGCTAATGTGTGTAATCAAATTGAATCAGAGGATCGTTTTAAATTAATATTCAGAGTGTGAATAAATCGAGCTTAAACAAATCATTTTGTAAACAAGTTAATGTTTTTATAAATAATCTATTAAATTGGTGACAAAAAATTCTATTCGTTTGTAAATTGCAGTTAAATTTTTTGTAACGATAACAACAGGTTTCAATTTAGGTAGGTGAAAGTTGTGGGATATTGATGCGGTACTTTTAAGTAAAGTTATATAATAGATTTAAATTTATTATTATTATTATTCTTTCTTATAAATAATAATGAGTTTTATACACTGTAAAACTAAATTTACTAAAAATAAATTTAGCTATACTAGGTGGCCCAAGTAAAGTGTTAGTAGATTGAAACGCTGTAGCTTCAACAGTTTTTGTGCTACAAATTTCTAGTAAATTTTAATGGAAAGCCAGTTAATTTTTAGGTAGAAAACAATTTTTGGCTTCCGAAATTTCCTCCCCTAACATTAATGCATAGCTGAGGACGCGGCCTACAGACCGATTGGAGCACGCTCGGAATCGGTGGACAAATTGCTCCATTTCGTGGTCAAAAATTTGTTTAAAGCTTTCAGACTTCTATATAGCTTAGAACACACCTTTGCCCCTAACTTTGGCCGTCTTTCATAATCCGGGCATTCAAATCCAGAAAGGAGGATGACCATTCCCAATTGGAGATATAGTCCGGAATTTGGTTTTTTAGGCACGCTTCGGCCATTTTTTGCACTATAAGCTCGTGCGGAGTCCCGCTAAGAGGTCACATCGATTCCGTTGAAATGGATCTCACTTAGGGCATGTACCACGGACTCGAAAACATTTTTAAAGAAATTCGATACCACCACCTTCCCCCCATTTTCAACAAAATGTAGAGAAATTACCCAAATTAGCTCCCACCTGACAAAACCATCGCAAAACCTAGATGATGTGACTTTTTGACCTTTCTCTATATCAGAGGATATCTTTGACCGATTTTGCTTAAATTAGATCAACTCGTTTGTTAAAATATTTTCCCGATGTGAAAATCTCCTCATTTGTAAGAAGAATCCTCTTCACTTTTTTGGCGCGTACCGCTTGAGGAGAGCCCCTCATTTCTTTAGTAGGGCTTTCTTTCTGGGTATCATCAAGAGGTGGCAAGTACCACATTTCAAAACCTTAAGTCTAAGGTTCAGTTTGAGTACTCATTGGATAATTTGCATCCACACTGTCAGCTGTGAGGCTATTTTCCGCTGGAATTTCGTGGATATTTTTGGACTCTGTCCTTCAGCGCCTTCACGATGGGTGTGGTCCTTGGAGGTTTTCAAAAAAATTTTCTTCGACTGTTTTTAGTCTATTTAGTCCCCATGAACGTTTTTATAGTCAGTTGAACTAAATTAAAGTACACGCTCGACTCCAGTCACATTTTCAAAATTCGCCATTTCTCGTCCCATTTTTGTGGTGAAAAATGAACGTCGCCTGCGTCCTTTCAAGATTTTCCCTGCTGATATGCTTTGCAAGCAATTAAAAACTGATTGATGCTATTTATGTAAAATCGCACGAGGAATCCAACGCACTTGTCAGAATTTCATTATCTCCAGCGGTTTTAATATTATTAGCTACTAACACTTAGCCTGGGCCCAGTAAGTATACTAAAAATAATGTGAAGTCACAAATGCTCCATCAACTTTCCCATGTATCGTAATTACGAGCTTATGGTCAGATTTTTTTAGAGGATGGCCTCATTTTCAGCAAAAATGGGATTCGATGAATTGCACAGATTATTCGATGCACTACAACGTCGGCCGTTATAACAATCATCAATATTTAATTTGTAGTATAATTTACGAAGCTAATACTAAGTAATTTACGAAGTACACAGGAAACCTTGATCCTTCAAAGTTGTAACGTTAATATGCTAAATATGCATACCAAATATGTTCCTTAATCCTTCTGGTGCGCAGAATTAACAGAGACGTATATTTATAATAATTAACCCTGACATGGCAAAAAACAGCCCAACTTTCTGCGTATGTTAGTACCCATATAAGAAAACTTACATTACTTTTATTATGGAAATGAGTAACAACTCATTTCCTAATAAGAACTATGACGCGTTTCAGGAAAGCAGATATTTTTGTGAACTTTCATAGAAATTAAGATATTTAGGTCAAAAATAATTAAAACTTCTAAGCCAATAAGGCTGTGAACTTATTAAAAACTAAATTCACAGGTAGCTACACGTCAAAGCCTTTTTGCTTAGGTATTTATTTTTATGTTGACACAAATATATTTTTTAAATATAAAGTTACGTAAGTAGACTTGGACAATTCAAGGATAGTTCAAATTCGAGGGACACACTTCTAATAATAGTAAATTGCAATTTACCCTCTTCGGCTGATCAAATTTGTATATTACTGCTTGCCCAACTGTCGTGTAGTGAAGTTCATAAATAAATTCCTTTCTGACTAATTTGTATTATTCTTCTGAAGAAAATATGCCAGGGAGTCAAATGTACAAAGCTTTGGCCCTTTATGCCCACTATTTTCAAAACCTCGAGCACATTTCGGTAGAGTGGGATGCCCCCAGAAAGCGATTACGTTACATCCCCTTCTCTTCTGGAATGTTGTGGCTATGGATGTGGAACATATTCTTTGTCGCTGGCTTGGGGCTCTTTGGAATGTCCTACATAGGCCTGATTCGGACCATGATTTCTGAGCAGTTTGTGCTCCCCAAGTTCAACATTATCACCACGGTGATGCAAATGGTTCTCATTACGTTTGGAATTGGGGTCACGTTGGCGTTGATCTTTTATGGGGAAGGTTTCGTGAACGGATGGAATCGCTATATCGCCAGGGAAATGCAAATAAGTAAGTACCCTTAAGGTGGAATAACTCCATCATAGAGTTTTAATCTCACTCTACCCCAGTTCAAAGTTTTTAAAAATAAATTTCGAAAATGTTATTAATTTCATGAGTTTTGAGATAGATGTAACGTTTTATACTTTAATGTAAAGTTAATTTTTATCCTGCAAAGCTATCGACTTAGAGAAAATGTTAATTCGTTTGCTTTTTTTCAAAATGAACATCCTCAAAAATAAATGATTTTTTTTCTCAAATCAATAGTTTTGTAGTGCCAAAAATTAACTTTACATGAAAGTACTAAAAGTTGCATTTATCTCAAAAGTCATGAAACTTGTGCTATTTTAGATATTTGCATTTAAAGAATTGAATAGGGGCAGTGTAAGACTAAAAGATATATCTTACGTCAAGTCGTCACCCCATGTATCCTTAAGAAGAATTGGTAAATTATCTAATGATCACATTCTGTACATGTTTTAAACAGATAAGGACGCGAGTACTAAAACAACTCCTGACTTTCCTGGCCTGGCAAGCAAACATTTCGTCAAAATGTTTGCAATGTATCCCTTCATCCTCATTCCATCTTCAATGTTGTTGCAACTCGATATTTTGTACTTTTTCATAGAAGAATTTAAAACATATCTTCCCATCAAGTATCAAACATTATTTGTCGTACTTTCCTCAGTATTCATCAGACTTCCAACTGTTTCGATTGGCATAATCGAAATTTGTCGGCTGTTCCCACTTTTGTTTATTTTGTTCACAAGCTGTCTCCAGTGCTGTAACAATCTTCTGAGCAGGTATCTGAATGAACTTGTGGAACAAAGGAAGCTGCATCAATCACTTGGCGGGAGGGAATTATTTCCGATAAATGGGAAATTCTTGATGAAAAGTATGTCGGACTATAAGCAACACGTCATTATTCAAAGCTCGATTGCACCTTTTCAGGAATGTTGTACGGCGATCCTGTTTGCAGGTTAAAAAATAATACGGAGATTGCGAATTTAAGGAGTTGTGTTAAAGTTTTGACCGGAAGGCCACATTTTGAATCCCGACAAATTTGGGTGACGTGTACTTTCCGTAAACATTAATTTTGTTAAGAGTTCCCTTATTTTTGACTCTAAAAACCATGTTTCAGTGGGGGCGTAAGATGTTTACGAAAACATTAAATGTTAGGTTTTACATATAAGATCACAATTCAAATTTCAAGGGAATTTTAATTCTCACATAAATTTTGCAGACCTTATGTTAAAACGATAAATTTAGTATTTGCGCGAAAATTTAGCGCCCATACCTTAATTCGCAATCTCCCTAATACATATATGACCTAATTATTTACATTTATCAAATATCACAGTCGGCCTCGTTGCCAGCATTATATTCAACACGGCAACGCTCCGAACTTACAAGGTTCTCCCATTCTTCTTTTACATCTACATTCCATCCGTTGCCGTCATGACAATCACCATGATCGGACTAATGGTACCTTTCGCTCAGACGGTTAACGAAACTTCGGGTAAGATGATGACAGAGTGGAAGACGAGATTGAACTTTAAGGAACTGTGGCCAAAAAGGGCTCTATTAAAAAGAATGATTCGATCCATCAAGCCTGTCAGCTTGTACGCAGGTCTCTTTGGATTTCGATTCTTTTATATCCAACGTTCAACGAAAGTGAATTTCTATGCGACCATTATGAGTTACACGACGAATGCAATGGTTGGCACGCCACAGAGTATTTTGCATGAAATGGAGAAGAATCGATTAAGCATATATGTAAAACCTTAGGAAACTAAAAATTTACGAAAAATTTGCGGTGATCTCATACATAAATTATTTATTACTGGTAGGTTTAAAATAAATTACTCTGAAAATTTTCGGCTATATTAGGATGTATGTATCCCGAGAGTGAAACTTTATGACCAAAGTTATTGTTATATTAGTATTACCGGTTGAAAATCTGTTAAAATTGATTTGGTTTCCTTTGATCTCGTCCACACGATAACCGGGTGACGTCGATCAAAATCGTTTATTTCATTGGATACCTCTGTCAAAATACTTCGACTTGACTGCAAATATGATTCTGCTCTAATTTAAGAAAATCATGACATGTGACTAGCGCCGTGATATTGTTGTGACCTCATAGCCCACTTTCTAATCAGGTCGGAACCTTGACCTAAATAAGTTAGGTTTCAAGGTGAAGTCTGTATTTCATTTTGTTTAAGAGCTATCGGACCAACGGAAGGACGGACATAACGTATAAAAGAGCTCCGCCCTCTAGTATATAAATCCCTGTTCGCTATTTCAATAAAAATACAGGAGTTAAAGTCCAAATCGTATGCGATAGTTAAATATGTGACAAAACTCTTAGGCACTGCAGTGGGCGTTACACTTTTTTCTGGATGCGTATTAATGGACCTTGAGGTTATCTTATCTTAAATCATTCAGTAATAAAATAATTTTAAAAAAGCTTGCTTAGGTGAGGGGCTGCTAAAAGTGAAAAACAAGGCCTCTGGCATATCTTTTAAATATCTCGTACCTTTATCATTGTAACAGGAGTTGGTGGCTTTGCATCACCGCGAGGCCAAACATTTTTACCGTTTACCATACCACGACGTTTATTACTTACATTTTCTGCTAAGAAATTCAATTATTGCTAATTAAAATTGTATCTATATGTATAAACGCTTAAACAAACTTATTGCTTCGAAAGGGTTATAAAATTGAGTGGAGTTTGTAAAATTATTATTCAGAGGACCAATATGATCAATAATGTTTATTTAGCTCATAATTAAATTCGATAGTTAACCAGTAATTCAGGTAGCTAAAAAAATTTGATGGATGTGCACAATTTTAAATAGGTGTTATGCAAAAAATTAAGATGCCGACGCACGAATAACAACGCGAGGGTATTTCCTAATTTTATTTACATATTAAAACAACTAGTTTTCAGTACGAACTAAAACGTGATAAATGCTAATTTTGACGTGAACCCAGATTAGGTTCTTGTGAATTTTTTAGAATATATTCTTTATTGCTAGAGGCTTGGCGTAAAATGTTTGGCCTCGCGGTGATGCAAAGCCACCAACTCCTGTTACAATGATAAAGGTACGAGATATTTAAAAGATATGCCAGAGGCCTTGTTTTTCACTTTTAGCAGCCCCTCACCTAAGCAAGCTTTTTTAAAATTATTTTATTTCATGAATTTTAGGTGATGCACATTTTCAGACAATTAATTGCACCTCAAAATTGTTAAACTTTTTGAAATGAAGACCGAATGTCTTGAATCTTTTTCATTACAAAATTAGTTGAAAATATGTACAGGGGGTCGCAAAATTAATTTAAAAACGGATTAAGGATCAATAATCCAAATTTTTTAATTAATTTAGCAGATAATAATTTTTCAGATATTAGGTTTTACGAGGATTAGTTATTTCATGAGAACAATCTGGATTAGGGAGGAAGATTATTTAATCTGGATTAGATTATAAATTACAAAATGAACTTATAAACATTTAAATCCAAAATATATGCATATAGGATTTTCAAATTTAAAATTTGTAAATTTGACACAGTACTTAAATATAAAATTATTGAAATTTGAATTTGCAAAAGAATTTGTAATTAATATAGATTAATAATCGTGCCAACACTGATCAGGAGGAAAGTTTTTGTGCGATTGGCCAAAAATGGAAATTACAATTGACCAATTAATTTGGCAAATTAAAATTGCCTAACACAACTACTTGTATTTGGAAAATTGTTATATTGATAGCTAGTAGCAACCAACTAGGAATATTGTAATTCTTGGTTAGCAACATGAATGGTTTCAGATACTTCCATCAAAACTTTTTCAGTTTTGGACCGATCTTAGTCGGATTTGTTTTAAATGACGCACAACCGATTTCTGCATGATAAAATCAGGTTTTATGCATATAGTCCTGTGGCACAAGTATCTCAAATTTTGATTTTAAGGTTTCAAATCCAAATTTGAGAGCGAAGAATAAAACTTTTCTATCGGGCATATTGAAAAACCACATCTCCTAATTCTCCTCTGCACGATTGCTCTTTACACCATTTGCGTAGGATTAACCGTTTAGGCTCTAGCCTCGCTGACAGTTTCAAAGGGTGTATACGAAAGCATACTTAGGCTTCGCCGTAACCATGGTGACGCTTTTTTGCGGGCACCCATTGTTACTTTTGCCTCACCTAAGAAAAATGTCTTTATTCGCCTTATCTTAATTTGCTTCGAGCTTAAGAAAAGCCTATCCGACATCTTAATGAACAGCGCTTTGTCTAGATGAAGTATTCCAGAAAGAAATAAGTATGTATCACATAAATACTTGATTTCAAAACTGCTTATTAATTTGACAGCAATTGTAAAATCTGTAAACGCAAATATATAGTAATAAGTACATATGTACATTCCTCAAGTTTGCTTGGGAAGCTCTCGCAGTTCAATCCCTGATGGGGATGTGCATGAACCTTTGTCTAAGGATGTTGATGGAAGAAATGTGGGTGTGACTCGAGAAACTATGGATTCTTTGTAATATTATTACTTGGTCAATTTGGAATTAATGTATTACAAGAAGTTGAATTTAGAGTAGCTCAACCAACCGTCGTTACATGTAAAAGAGCATTTGGAGACTGGCTGGGAGAAGAGAGAGGAAATTGTAGATGTAAGATAAATAAGAGACAAAAATCACAAAATGTTCACTATGAAATCGTTCAATCCCGTTTTTGGGACAAGTGGTACTTAAATTCATATGTATCAAATCGATTTTTACAAACAAATACTCACCGGACACTCTCTCTTCCATTTGGCTTGGAAGACAAAATTGAAATTTGAAAATACTCCCACGTGTGGAACAATTTACTTGTTACTATGAATCGCGCTATTTCTTCACTTCAGCATATAACAGTTTTGCTGGGTCATTACATAAACATTCACCTATGTACACATTGGAGTCTTACGTGCTTATGAATTCAAACCTTGGTTACAAACCTTCATTTACACTACTATCTTCATCATACCAATTTTTTCAGGAAATTGGGATTTGGTGCACACCAGGCTCATGCATAAATCACGGTTTTGCCGTAGGTGACTTAAATACGTACATACAATACATATGTACATTTATTTGCATACTGGAAGTTCAAATCGTGTAGATGACCATATGTAAATTGTATACATATATACACACAATATCAAGTCAAATTACGACATGTGCTACATGTATAATGCCCTGGCTACACTACTGTCGTAATATTCTAGAGTTTACTGGTAATATGGGAAAATGCATAAGGCCAGCTACATGTGTAACTTGCAACCAGTTCAGAGTTTACTCTAGAGTTTTACTAGTAAAATTTCACTAGTAAAACTCTAGAGTTCAGAGTTTTACTACGAACTCCAGCTATACCAATGTGCTACTTCAGTGTTAAACATTGAAATTTTACGCGGGATTTCTTATTTACTGACAAGAGTCCACTTATTTTTCCAAACATTAATTCTTCGTCTTCATTTAATTTATAAGAAAATTTAAATCAATGGAGTCGCAAATAATTATCGAAGTCGTTGGTAAAAAGGCAAATCATTTTTCGCAAGAATAGAACCTCGCATTAATACGGATTTGGGGATCGCAAACTTGTATTTTAAACTAAATTATTATTTTTTAGATGGTAAATTTTTAAAAGTCTCACCTCTGAGAAATAACTCTGAGATTTGGTACCCTGAAAATTACAACGGTACAAAATGCAATGTAGCTGGAGTATTTATTTCAGCGTTAAACTCTAGAGTTAACTCTGAAAAAATTTACGACAGTAGTGTAGCCAGGGCATAAGTTGTCGATTGCGATATTAGCCTAAACAAATTTTCATTCATCAGGCACTCCAAGCTGACAACTACAAATCCAATGTCAACTTGTGAAATTTATATAACACACATCCTCTTGAAACTAGTTGATAAATACATCAATTTGTCTGCTTTGAAATAAATTAAATTCGCTCATTCTTCCTTCATAATTTTTCGACCGAACAGTACATGAACAGTACATGAACAGTCCAAGCATGGCATTTTCCTTGTCCCTAATCATCTTCAAAATTTTGGTCTTTTTACATGTTTCCTGTTCATACACACCTTTGGGAACATTACATTCGCCCAAAATCCACAACGTAATCGAAGCATCATCCAAGAGTACTGATTGTACAATAGTCATGATCTTTGAGAAAATGTCGTCCTCTAATTATCATCCTATTTCTTCCTATAGACCAGGAGTTCTAGTTCGCCTAGTTAATTCACAAAATCCTAGTAACGTGTATTCTTTAATTCGCTGGAAACTGCCTCGTAATCTCATCTTGCCCCCCTTAAAGTTTCGACCTAACTGTAAAAACGTGTATATTTACACTACATCCTACCAACTCCCTCACCATTTAACCAACATAATATCCGTCTACACCCCAGTCATACACTCCAGACCAAAATCAGCCGTTAATTTACGCAATGAACAGCTAGTCTTATCTCATTTTTACATCTTCTTGATATCGTCATACCCCCAACGTCATTACAAAAAAGGAAAAGATTTCGATGACGAAGTTATGAGAAATTTTGTCAACTTTTTTGCCATAATTTTCCTCCCAGAAAAAGATAACAAATTAAATCGAAAAAGTTATACCGTTTGCCTTTATTCGACTCAACTAATTTTTCCATTCTTCGTCCACTTTCGATGTCTTATTGACACAGGGCTGGACATATCATGGGGCAAGTTGAAACTAGCACGAAGATGGACTAACCCGACTAACATTAAGAATTTTAAATTCGACTTCCGACTCCTCCTCCTTGACACTATATTTCTCTATTATAACGACACCAAGGAGCCATTTGACTCAAAATTGGACGCCATCTCGCGAAGTACGTTGTTAGAGCCGGACACTCCACTTGAGTTTTCATCTGGTGTGAGAAACGGATGGGCGGTCGTCTTCGTGGATTCAAAACCTTTACAATTCATGTCTTGTTACACCCCGCCGGAATTAAGTTTTCGATTCTATTACAAACCTTTCCAACCAGCTGTATGGTTTGCGGTGATGGGCTGTGTCCTCTTCTTGAGCGGGTTTTCCCATTGTTATCTTTCTAAGCGGTATGTTACGTCCTTTAATAGTGGGCTCTACTTTGTCGCAACCCTTTTGAAAGATCCCGCCGCAATTCCAGTCGCTTTAAGGGGGGAGAAAGTCTTAAGCCTTGTAGTAATACCGTGGACTTTCACAGCTATCGTATTGACGTCTGCCTACCTGGGTTTGGTAATAACAAGGTTAAACTCACCGCCCAGAGGTGAACCCATCGCCACGTGGGAAGAGGCAGTATGCCTGGAAAAGTAAGTTTTACCGTGTGGAGTCTTGTTTGGCAGCAAAATCAAAGTCAAAACTTTTTTAAAAATGTTTAGTTAAATCATTTTTTACTATTCTTCTTCCAGGCTGGGAGCCCCTTCTTCAATAATGAACACATCGTTACCTTCTGTAGACCAAGGCTTTCTTCACCCTCGAAATATTTCCGCAGGGCATTGTTTTAGTCTCCTTTCTCCTGTCAATGGTCCATTTGATGATCAACAATTCGAAAACAATTCTATCGTGCTTTACAAATTTGTGTATTCTATAGTTGCATTGTGGTCTAAACTAGCTTTCTTACCATCCAGAATTCAAACCATATTTTCTGCCATTGTCCAAAACGAGACTACGTTTTTTCCACTAACTCCCGCCAATCGTAGTTTCACAAGGAGGGAGTTATTATCTAAAGTTCTGGAAGAGGTGCTACTTTGTGGGAAAACTTTGCTTGTCGCTACGCGGCAAGAGCTCGACGTTGTGGCGGAAAGATGGCACAAAACGAAATTCCATATTGGAGCTGAACCCTTAAAGACGACGACAACCGTTTGGGGATTCGAGACTTATGGGGAGGACATAATTGTCAAAGGGTTTAAACGGATTTTCGAGTCGGGAATTTACACTTGGCTGGAGAAGCAATCAATTGCAGGGGATTATTTGACGGTGGGAAGGGATTTGGCCGAGGGGGATTCCTTTAAACATACGATAAAGATTGGAGGGCGAATTAGAACGATATTTTTTATTTGGATGGGTGCAAGTACTTTAACAATTTTAGTATTTTTAGTAGAACTCATGTTTTTAAGATGTCAAAGATATGCATTTTTTAGATAATTGGGTGTCATGGAACCTCCGTTTTCATGAATAATAAATACTGATTTTAAACGTTGACATTTAAATATGCGTGTAGATTTTTGTGATTATGAAGCATCATGGATAATGCTTTGTGATTCGGGAATCAAGGAGGCCCATCACTTTAGTAAGGCGTTTGGCTACGCAGTACAAATTCCGAAGAAAGCACTATAATTTTTTAAAGGCTCTTTTAAATTCAATAGGTCTTTTGGCATATCAAATGTCTATGCACGTACAAATAATATAAATATGTGAATATGTATGTACTTGATTGTAATCTATGGATAAGAATAGAAAAAATTGTGTTGACACCAAGCATTGGTGCCAAAAATTTGGTAATCAAAGGAGTAGATTAATCAGGGTCGATTTCTGGCCACAACTTTTTATTAGTTTACTTCGAAGATAAGTCAATAATAAATAAACAATTTAAAGTTTGAGAAATACGCTCGACCACATTGCTATAGGCCAAAAACAAATATTTTGAATAGACTAGGTATATCTTGAAAACTGAATGTAATCCCCAGAAATGCGTAAGGAAAAAAATGAAGGCACTATATAAAAAGATCATAGTAAATGAACTCATGAAAATATAGTGGAATGAAAACTTTGACCCGGATACCAAAATATTCCTGAAAAACGTCCAAATTTGTAACTTTATTGCACCTTACCTATCGATATCGGTTCAACTCTTGGCTTGATTTGATACTTTGAATATGCGAACATAATTGATGTGTACAAAAATCAGCGTCATTAATTTAGAAAAGTGCATGCATTTCAAAAATTATACAAAAAGAGTTCAAATTTCATGAAATAATAATTGTTTTGCAATCAGTTCTTTAAAGCTATCTCATTTTTTCGGAATGGCCTACATGTGCATGCATATCTGTAATAAAGAAGAAATAATGGTAAGTCTACATACGGCATGTTACATATTTGTGGTTTAATGCAACTGACAATTGCATTGAATTAATATCGTGTTAATATATGCGAATATTATAATTGGAAGGAGAATTTTTAATAAGTTTTCGACACTGTACTCGTGTCATCATCAAAAAGGGATAAAAATAATATTTGGAAATCAAAAAATGATAAACTTCATTCAAGAAATTTATAATAATTTGTTCTTTATAATTTTTGTCACGGGTGTTTAATGAGCGGTAGCATTAAAGATGACCAAATTACTTATAATTGACCTATTAATTGACCCATTATAATTGACTATCTCACATCTGATGGTCCACCATTTTCAGCCCCCTCATTAACCAAACAGTCCCACGGACAGGCGAGCAACTCTGGTATTCGACGCATGAAGGCTTGCTTAATTCCAATTTGAGGACCTTGTGTAAAATAATTTGGTTTAATCCCCCACTCCCCAGTGGTGTTGACGAAGGTGCGAATCAGCAATTGGAATGCCTCCGAGTTTCGTACTGTTGCATCATTAATTTTCGGTGATGGGAATGGCGAATTTGAACTTTTTTTACAGGTTCCTTGACAATAATTCTTAAACTCTTTAAATTGATTTTGTTGTACGGAAATTTCCCCAGCGGGGGTTTTGTTAGTGATTGGGGGCGAAATACTGGACTTTTTTTGAAGTTCGAGAAGATGCTGGTGCATTTTATCGACTTGATGTTCACTCAGGTTAAGTGGTATGCCTTGATGGAGCTGAGAAATTTGGGTCAATTCCACCAGTTGGCAGAGAAGCTGTAAATATTTAAGATTAAACAATTTATTGAGTGCAAAAGTTTTAAAAATATATTGAGAGATATTCGTTGCTAGTTAGCATCGTAGAATATTGTTTCAAACGTTGTTAATTTGTTTGCTAGCAGTGGAGATGCTGAATTTACGAAATCGTTTTTAACAGTATTTAGGGTAGAGGTAACCACTTGCATGAAATAACGGCAAGAAAGTGATTTCTTGCAGCTATTTCCAACTACTTTGACCTGCTAAAAATGCGAAGCGCAAAGAATTACTTACGACGCGCCCCATGACCTACTATAGTTCATGGCAAGCAAGGCCCTATGGCTCAGAGGTACGAGGGTAGGATTGTCACCACGCAGTCACACGTTCGATTCCTCTGGCCGGGAAGCTATTGCTAATCCTACTCGGCTCGGTGTTAGTAAGGGGTAGGTGCTGTCTCGTGACAGGGTGAGCCCAGCCATACGGAATGGCAATGTCACTGTGTACAGCCCCTAGCAGAGTCCGTTCTCTGTGGGGATGAGACAACTTGCTACGAAATTATGGCAAGAAGTCGCCATCTGAGGCTGAAAAGCAGAGAAATCTGAGTCCTGGCGATGTAAAACTGTCACATTTTAACATTTTAACATTTTAACATGGGGCGTGTCGCTAGATGGCGCATATGTATTTCAGATTCTTGCACCTAACATTTCTTGCTTTGAAATGGGAAAATATAGCTAACCCGCAAAAAATGAAATACTGATTTTTACAATTTTTAGCTAATTAATAGGTTAATTTTGCACTTTTTTTGCCGAAGATTTATAACGCGATGGCAGAAAAAAAACTCATCATTGACGTCATTAATTGATTTCCAAGGATTAAATCAACTCACCTTTGGGAAAGTAAGCCTCCCTTTCTCCCCTTGCACAAATTTTAAGTATTTTTCAAGTAATGCCGAATAAACTTCCTGCGCTTCATTTATAGCTGGTCGGTCGTCAAACTCTGTGCAACTATCTGTTCCTCCACAGTCTGAGAATAACACGACGGGGATCATTAGCATAATGCTAGTTTCGTCGGGGGCAATATTTCGAATCCTTCTGTAGAGTTTTTCCTGCATTTCTAATAAGTCTTGGGGACACACATCTTGTAATTCGGTTATCTGGAAATAAAATATGGTCAGTGTTTCAAAATAAATTTAATAAATTAACTGAAAGTTCATAAGATTTTGATTGCACAGACCGACATTAACTAAATGTGTGTATGGGTTTGCATATTTATTTTGCAAAATTGTGAGTATTCACGTCACGAAAAAACGTAGCTTCGCAATGCATACATATATCTTCTTAAATTTGCGATGACTGGTGTCTTAAGTTTACAGGTCACTAACTTGCGCGGAATTAAATTGCCGTGAAAATTTCACCGCAACAACAACATGAAATTTGAATGAAATTGGCGAGAAATGAGTTTATTTCACGCAAATTCCAAAACTCAGTTTACAGGTCATTTACTAAATTGTCCTACATTATTGTTGGTCATGGTTACTTGTTGAAGTAACCATGACCATTTTAAAGGTCGTTTATTCGAATTTGAAAATTTATATTAATTTTTTTGAACGTTACCATACTTGCTCTTATGACAACGATATACAATATGACCAGTAACCAGAATTTTCACGTGAAATAATATGCAAGCATTTCACGGAAATTTCATCGAGTTTGAGTGAAAATTTCACTTCAGTGAAAATTACGCGTTGTTTTCACCGTTGACGTGAGAACTATTTTGTGAAATTTTCAGGCAAAGGCGATTTCACGTGAAAAACATGCCTGTAAACCAGCCTTTAAACGACCGTGAACGAACTCTAGTTTAAATTGAACTAAATATATAAACAGGAAATGGAATTGGAGCAGAAATCAAAGTTCGCTTAGCGACGAGTTTGGGAAAAATAGTTTACAGCGTATGTAAATAGATGCCATTTTTCTTCGCATACTTTGCAAAAATACAGGAATATGATTTGTTTTAACATCGCAACTCTTTTCGAACAACGAAAATTGCTAAAACAAATATATAAACATGTTGCGAAGAGACTTTCACGAAGCTTACGAAGTTGACGTGAACCTCCACATTATTTCGCAAACTATTTATTTCTTGCGAAATATGTACGAAGTTGAGATGAGTACGCCTACAATATGTATTTATATAACTTACGCGTATGTCTGGGTAATTTTCTCCATCTTTCGAAGTTATCATGCGTTTCTCGAAATCAAATATGATTGAACCTCTCAGAATGCCCATGTGCATTCCAGACCGTCTCAATAAATTCGTTTGGTCGTGTACAGAAAGTTTTCCAAATTCGGGAATCATTTTCGCAAAATATACGAATCTAAATAGAGGAAAAATTTGTATGTACAAAATTTTTTATCTTCCAAATTAGAAATTTTGATTCCATACCTTCGGATATAAGTAGAAATGAATCCGATTAGTAAAATTTTCGATTTTGTGGGACTCACGACTTCATCCTTTTCGCGAGAGGGAAACATGTATGGAATTTGTTTACACGCAGATTCATAAAATTTTGAAATATTTTCAATCATTGTAGCATCTTTATCATTCAGTTTTGCATCGTTTCTTGGAGTTTCAATAATTGGAAGAATCTCTGCTGGACCAATTTTCGATTTTTGCAATTTTAAATCTTGTATCTTTTTATAATCCGCTAAGACCCATTTAAAATTCATTCCAATTTTGCAACATTTCACAAATCTGCAAGCTTTGCATTTTTTTCTTGTTTTTTGGTCGATTAAACAGTCCCCCTTAAATTTACAATTCTTCCTGAAATCTTGCTCGGATTTGGCATCTTTCAAATTCTTGAGAACGAAATGGCGGAAGAAAGATTTACAACAGTTGCATGACATCCCACCAAAATTCTTCCATCTCGCTGCCTCCCCACAAACGTGGCAAGACTGAAAAGACTGATAATGTTGAAACCTTAATAATTGACTCTAAGAATAATTGAGATAAAAGTAATTTTACATTCTCTTCGCCTTCTGATACTCGCTTGTTCAGCTGTTTCGTTTTGTTGATATCGGAAAAACATTTTTCCTTCTTATTTTCTGTTACCAATTTATGACTCAATTTCCTCTTTCTGTTTCTCTCCATGGTTATTCCTTCCATCGTTGTACTTCTATTAAATATAAAATATGTAGCGTATTTATGCTATCCACTAGTAAATGTTTTGTACAAATATAGAAAAGTTGCCACAAATTTAATATTTACCACTAATAAATACGAATTTGTTTAATCAGCATATGCTTAAGTGAAATAAACCACTTGACATCATTGTCATTGCAGTGTTCCATGCATGCTTATACATACATATGTACAACAATATGCATATACATATATGCACCTATAATTTTGCATCATCTCTCTGGACAGTGAATGACATTCCGCAACGTAGTAGGTGTCCACTAAGTAAGTAAGTAAGTAAATGATTTATTGCGAGATTGTGTATGGCCATAGCCTTTACAATCATTATTTAAATTTAGTATACATATTCTTACAATCTATTGGCTGGATCTTAAACTATAAATTTTCTCAACTAAAGAGCATAAAGTGTGTAATTTAGGTGCTGTTAAATCTTTAAGGTATAAGAAATATTCTTCCGAGGATTTTATGTTACACAATTCTGGAGCACTTTCTCTTCGCAGTTTTCTCAGAGGTTGGCATTCGCATAATATATGGTACATTGTCTCTTGCATACCACTATTACATAATTGACATTCCGGGCTAAACTCAGGATAGAAACTATGATTTAACTTATTTAATTTAAAAACGGTATCGTGGACAGAAAGTTGTTCAACATTTAGCCTAAGCTGTACCCCTTGCCTTATTTTATTAAATGGAATTACAAAATTTAAATAATTTTCGGGTTTAACGCTGGTTTTAATCATTCTATAATTTGCGTATCTTTTAGTGTTGGTCATTCTTTCCACGTCCTTGTTTGTAATATCAATTGTTACCTGTTTTAATTTGCTATTTATCAGTTGTAAAATTTCTTTATCAGTTTTCTCTTGAACGTTAACATCTAAAATGTCCTCTATTTTGTAAATAGTGAGAAGAGTTTTGACATCCCGAAACCAGTTGTTCTTTGTTTCTGACGTGCTCTGTTTAATTAATTCTTCATAGCATTTAAAAACTAGAGTACTGTCGTTTGTAATTATCTTAAACCAGAAATACAACAGCGATTTGAGAAACATGACTTGAATAGGTTTTACATTAGTTTCTAATCTGCATATCCATTGCGGAGTTACATTTGGTAAATGAAATAATTTCCTTATAAAGTTTGCTTGAAATACTTCTAAATTATCCATAAAGTTAACTCCCCATATTGGTGAGCAGTACAAGAGAACTGACTGAACAAGGGAGTTAAATAGTTGCATTCTACTATTGAGTGTTGTAATTTTAGCTCTGTAAAATAATTTCATTAAATCATTCTGAGCCCATCTAGACTTGGCATGGAAATGTTCGAACATTTTCTTGTTACTTACATTTGAGTAGAAAGGAACCCCTAGATATTTATAATAATCTACATAGTTTATTTCTGAGTCGCCCCAGAATAATTTAGGTTTGTTCTTAATCGTATTTCTGTTTTTGAAAAGGACGACATTAGTTTTTGATAAGTTCACAATTAAGCCATTATCATTAAAATATTTAACTAATTTATCTATCTTTTCTTGCATTTCGAATATATTTCTAGCTAGTACAACCAAATCGTCTGCATAGGCTAACATATCAATATCTGCAGTACCCACTCTAATTGGTGATGTTTTTTCATCAAATATTTTAAAGACATCTTCTAGAAAAATTGTGAACAATTTTGGAGATAGCGTTTCTCCTTGAAAAACGCCCCTTTTTAGTCTGAACCAGTCGCTATCACCTTCGGATGTTCGAATTTTTGCTTTTGCACTACTGTACATTGATTTTATTACATTGATCATTTTTGTGCTAATTCCTACTTTCTGTAGCTTTTTCCATAGCATGTTGCCTTCAATTGAGTCAAAAGCTGAGGACAGGTCAATGAAACATGCAAATACTACACTTTTCTTTGTTTTAAGATTACATTGTAATGCAGACTGTAAGGTAAAAACATGATCGGGGCAACCCGTAGTAGGTGTCCACTAATGAGATAAATCAAATGAAAATAGTCGATGGATGCCTTATCGAATTCAGAAATTACTTCTCACATACATACATACATATGTAAAGCATCATCATACATACAACGTACATAGCTGCGACGAATATCGTGTTGTCATTATTTATCGCTACTTTTCATAAATACATATGAAGCAAGTCGTGGGTATTTTCGATCAATTCATGAATAAATATGGTGGTTATGATGCATTTGAGTGATCATTTTAAATATATGTATGAATGGCATGCGTTCGCGTTCCATGTAAAATCGTTCCTGAAAATTTTAGTATCAATTCTGGTACATATGCACGATTTCAAGAATTTGTCGGGAAATTGTTGTCTGCTGTTTTTACAAGATGTTTTTTTTTCTTTAAACTAAATATGCACAGTTTGAATTGTGAGATGATATTATGGACGAAGTTAAATTCAATTATTCCAGATCATGTTTCTGCGTTTTTTAAATACTGGAAGGAATAATTAATGGGACCAGGTTGACATTAAGGATTTTTTTCGCAATACGTTTCTTAAGATTTTATTAAGATTTTGTGCAGTTATTACATGTCGTGTAAGTTTTATGAGAAAATAAGGTTTCTTTGAACGAATTGTGTCATAAAAATGTCTAAATTCCAACAGACTTAGCGGACTTAAACTCCAAGGGCAGCAGCAACATCGATACGCCCGTAACCTGAAAAGTATATTAAGGTTAAATTAGTTAAAATACCATGGATGCCAAAGGACGGATATTTCAAGTTACATACCGTATGCATTGTTTGGGAAATCTCCCGGTCCTGGCAAACCACAGTTCCTGTCGGCATTCGAAACTGGAGGCTCGAAAGCTGAAGTGGATAAGGCATTCACAACCTGATCGTAGTCAAAAGTTGGGTTGGCCGAGAGGATGAGGGCAATAGCTCCAGCGGTGTGGGGGGTGGCCTATAAAAATTAATTAATTTTAGAAATCCAGTCGCAGAAACATCCTGAAGAAATTTGCAATTTTTTTGCAAGCTCACCATTGAGGTTCCAGACATTGTGACGTAATCGTTGGCACCGGTTCCGCAAGAAACAACGTTGCTTCCTGGGGCAGAGACTTGTGGTTTCAGTGCTCCCGATGGGCTTGGTCCCCTCGAAGAGAAAGAGGACAGGGCATCAGTATCAGTCGTAGATCCCACAGCGATCAAATTGGGCTGATTTCCTGGATCGACCGTCGTTCTGCAGGAAGGTCCAGAATTTCCAAGGGCAAAAACTGGAATATCCCGGCACTTCGCCACGCCGAGATCTGGCTGTTGAACCATCCATTGCCGAACGGTTGACGCCAAGAGGCCGAAACAATGTGTGGTTTAGGGTCGGCCGTGAGCATGAATTGGGCACAGGTCGTTAGAGCAGCTTCAGTCGTTCCTCCATTGTTGTTCAGCCCACGACAAGCGATCCATCTTGCGCCTGGAGCGACGCCGACACCATTCGCGCGGCCGAGAATTGTTCCAGCGCAGTGGGATCCATGTCCGTCGACATCAGTGGGGTTGGGGGTGTTGTAGAACGGGTCAGACCAAGCACCGGCGTATCCTTCGGTGAGGGCGGTGTGACGAAGGTTGACGCCGGTGTCGATAATGGCGACGACGATTCCTTCTCCTTGTGTGGTTGCCCAGGCTGCGGGTGCGTTAATTTTGGCAACGCCCCATTGTGGTGTCTGGGTGGTGTTGTCTTGAGGGGCGACTTCCGGACCGCGAGTAGTGGGGTGAAGCATGGCCGTGTAATGGGGTCGGATGATGAAATCGCCGGGGGTGGAGGCAAGTTGAGCCAATTTCTCGGACGTGAGCCCCTTAACGAGGATGATGTTGGAGGCCCAGTATTGCTCAGTGGCGAGGCCGAGGGAGGCAGCGACGGAGATGAGAGGGGCCTGGGCGGCGGATGTGAGACCTTGAAGAGTGGCGACGAGAGCGGAAATCTTGGCATCGCGGGGGAGGGAGGACAGCGCGGCATTGGAGTCGGCGACCGACATGACTTCGGGAAGTTCGAGAATCGCTTCGGTTTCCCCGTTATAGACGGCGAGGGACAAGGAAGGGTCGATTCGCCCGGCGGAGATGGAGGCAGTGGCGACGAGGAGGAGGATGAAGACCTTCATGGCGATGTTTTAGTGGAGACTTCTACTTATTAGTTAAGGAGAAAGTTGTGGTGAGTGAATGAATTTCAATGGTCAACTTTGTGCTCTTTTATACCAGTTTGCTAGAATATGGGCGAGGTTGTATGCTAATCCAGACTTTGGAAATATGACGGAAAGTCCGGAAAGATAAGTTGGTCAGGGAGCTTATCCTCTCCTTTGCCCCACATCGAGTGCCTTGCAGGGAAATTTTGCCATTGTTCCGTTCCATGTATCAGAAGGAATTTCCTTTCGGGTAAGAGTTTCGTAAGGCTGGATAAATGATACATCAATGCCATCCAGAGAAGTATTGCATTACAAGATTTGGTGATGTCGTGTTAAATATAATTTTACTGTAAAGTTATACACATCGTACCTAGAATAAGCAGATCATTCCTTCATGTGACCGTGAAAACCTATATTCGCAAGTTTCCCACAGAATATAGCTCATGTAATATAGGTACATATCCATATTGTATTGTATTTAGAAATGATATGTATTAATTAAACATGCGAGACCATACATAAAGCATGCGATCAATTTTATGAAACTGTTACCCACAGTAAAATTGATTAGGTAATTTGTGCATGGCCACGTTTTCATCATGTATTCAAGGTTCGTTGTAGGGATTTTTGTATTGCTTGGCATTATCTAGGTATGATTATCGAATTTAGCTGATAAGCCAAACTGACTTCGGGCTTTACATACATATATCCCCTCATAGTACATATGTTGCATACAATTTACGTAATTTACATAATTGGAAATTTACTTGATCAGTCTATGATGATATGCATACTTAGGATTAATTAGGATTCTCCTAAAATTTGAGATTTCCCTAAATTCAAACTCGTCGTCAAACATTTACAAGTTAAAATAAAATCCACGAAGGTCAATATTACCTAGCTTGACATGCATTTATTTATGTATTCGTACGTTGTCATATGCAGGCCTGTCGTGTTACTCTCAAATTTCTACCACATCGATTAAATTCATCCTCCATTCTTATCCATTTTCAGGAAATATAAAAGTTATGGCCACTTTAATTCTTACGGTATCCAAACGATTTTGCCAGGACAGCAAAAACAGCTAAATTGAGATTACCAATGATTGATTTATTGCATGGACGGACAGGATGTGATGAATTTTCTTGATGATATGGAGCAAATACATAAATACCATTCTACCATTTCTCACTAATAATTAAGGCGTAAAAGTAGCTCGTGTAAGGGTGTAAATATTTTGCAATAATTATACAAGTTGTACTTGATAAATAAAGATAAATTGTTTGCATCCCCAACTATGTAGAAGTTAAGGTGCACCCGACACTCTTTTCAAGATGAACCGTTCACAAATTTCGCAAATTAAGGCAGTGATAAGGTACATATTCACTTTTGCGTAAAATGGACACAAATTGAAAACGAATTGTTCGTCCGTTATTAAATGTAGAAGATAGCTTAGTTCTTAAATTAATGTGAAATTGACTAAATTTTTAATGAGAATAATAGCAAATATATATATTTGTTAGTGGAGTGCAGTTCGATAAATTCATGATACATACCTACGTATTTAATTAATATTCACGTGTCAACTCTTTGATACACCTTTCGTAAGTAATTAACTTGCATAAATTAACGACTTGGGCATGAAACCGACAGTCGCTAACTGGTTTTCGAGTAGCATTACAAATATATTTATATCAAAATCGTTTTCCGCAGAGTGAAACGCCATTTAAAATTAGCGAACAAATTTTCCGGCGGATTCATAAAATTTGACAAGACTTCGGGAAAAATAGCAAAAGTTTCTAAAAAGACAGAAATAATTGCAAAGGCCTACGTGATTTTCCAATTTGTGGTCATCATCGTCAAGATATGGTCGATCACTGCAAAAACAGGAAATCTCATTGAAAAAATTCTTGGAATTGCAATAACATCCCTGTCCACTACTGTATTTCTGCTTCGATACCACACCACCTCTGCCCAAGTTCAAGTGCAATTCCTCAATTACATATTTTTCTCAGAAGGTTTTCTTAAAATTCATATACATAGATCGTACTCACGACAACGTATTATTTCGTATCTCAACTCATTTAGCAAACGTGCGAAGATAAAAAATAAATAACTTTAACCTGTGAGAGGATTCGCAAAATATGACTTGGCTAATCTCGCTAATCTCGCAAATCTACTAAAAACACCTACACGCAAACATATTTTCTTATTGTTTCCAATGGAAATTGCGGAAATCCATGGGAACTTTCTATAGATTTCCGCAATTTCTCTTGTTAGTGAGTTTACAAAATAATTTTGTGAAATAACATGGCCAAGTACTGGGTAAATTTGAGAAACAAAATCCCTTAGTTTCCCAGCAAAATTGTATGCAAATTCTCAAAACTTTAGCAAAACCTTGCAATTTATGTTAATATCATGAATTGCGAGATATGCGAGATATGCAAAGGTTGTCGCGAGTATGCTCATAAATTTTCGTTTTATTTCAAATTTGTATATCAAAATATAAGCTTGCGATTTTTACAGGTGATGAAAATGATGGAAAGTCGAAATTTTTTCTCACCTATCTTGTATTGTTCTTTGACGCGCTCGAATTTAGTTACTACAGCACGTGCGCGGCACACTGGCTGATGGTGATGTTCTTCACTTGTCAGCCAGGCTTGGCAAGCTCCATTCTTTGCTCCACAGACGAAGTTTTTAGTTACGGCACCATTGTAAAATCCGTATTCGTATTGGTGGAGTCTTACGCATTTCTGCAGGCTAGTGTGGCCACGGGATATCACCTCGTTACCGTTCTGCTAACTGGGGTCATCTTTCTCTGGATCGAATGTGGGGATTTTATCCAGCGGCATCAAATGGAAATAGCCCATCAAATCGAGTACAGGAGGGTGCAAGCTCTGGAAAAACTGTTGAATGCCTGCACCCGTGAACAGATTTTCTTGAAGACTGCGATGCTAATACCTACTTGTCAAATGATGACATCCTTCGTGGCGGTTAAGATGACGCACTTGGGCCATGATTTAATTGCGGTTGCGTTGATGTGGCTATACCTAATGACATTGGCTTTCACCCTGCTAACGTTTTCCGCAGCTGCGAAACTTTACGGTGTGAGCCAAAAGTGGATAACGGACTGCAAAGGAACAGGCAGGAAGAAATACGCCAGAAAATTTCAGAGATCGTTGAGACCACTGAGGTTAGAGTTTGGGAATAATTTTGTCGAAGTACTCACTCCACTGGTCGTGTAGGAATTTTGCTTGAGACAAACGGTCTCATTACTGCTTGTATCAAAATAAAAAGTTTGAGGAGAAATAATTTGGACCAAGTATGGATCTTGCTTGCTCGCCATATGACCCTGCAGACTCGTCAAACCGATATTTGTTTTAATAACTTAATTTAACATCAAATCATATGTATATACTTATTTATCGAATGGGTCGTAATAGAATACGGAAGTTTTTCATTTAAAATGAAGGACAAAATACAGCTTTAACATTAACCACTTCACCCCTATAACGACTATGTGGCGTATTTGACCTTTACGCCGAGTACGACCATGTGGCGTAAGTTCCCTTGGCACCGGAATACGACGATGTGTCGTATTGACCCTTGACAACGGATACGACTATGTGGCGTATTTTCCGTTCACACCGGCCTACGACTATGTGTCGTATCCGGAAAAAATTAGGTCATTGCCTCTCCAAGCAAAGTAAAGCAAGAGTTATGAGTCAACAACCCGCCCTTTAGGTGGGAAGATAAATTGTCTCTTAGGAAATAATATTAGAAATGCATGCAAAATAAATTTATAGCCAAGTGGCTATATCTAGCCAACACGCCGAGTTGTGAAAACTGTTTTTTGCAAGGAAATTTCGACACCGATTTATTTCAACAACGGTTTACGATAAGATTAGAGAAATTGTTTTGCTCGCATGTAGCACAAACGGGCGTTTTGGGCGAGAAAACTAAAAGTTTGATGAATTGCATCATTGCATGGATTTAATTATATACCACAAATAATCTTGCCGGTAGGGTAAACTACGTCAAAATTAATCATTACGTATCGGGTGCCGCTGAAATATCTTTTGGGCGGGAAAATTAAAAATTGAGAGATTGCCAGGAATTAGTAGAATTTAATTTTCCCGCTTAAAATTGATTTCTATTCACCAGATGCGCCATAGTCTATGTTCGAGCAATTTCCTCTCACGGGATAATTATTCATTGTCATTGCTGTCTATTTAAAGTCATTGTAAGGATTTTTGGTTTTCCCGCCCAAAATCGGCTCCTAAGGCGCTTTATGCGCTATAATCAATATTTGCGAGTTTACGTACTATTATGCAAGTATTACTCCATGCTTGTCTAACTTTTCATGCAATTAAAATCATTTCTAAAATTCGGCGTGTTGGCTATTTTCGGCTATAAACATTGGTGGTTCGCCACAACTCAAAAATGTAAATTACAACTCAAAATACCTTCTTGAAAGGTTATTCACATCAATTTTCACAAAAAAGTGTCCAGAATAATTCCGGTGGGAACACCATTTTTTAATTCATGGCCCAGGAATTAACGTCATGCAGTAGATAAAAATTTCGGGGTCAAGGGAGGTAAAAATTCGCGGTTACTAGGGGTGAAAGGTATGAAAAAACTCGTCTCCTAGGGTTGAAGTGGTTAAATCATCTGTCTATATTTACTGGTTTAGCAAAAACAATACAAATTTCATACAAATTTCATAGAATCCGACTTTGAATACTGTGACGTATACATATACATATTTATATGTATTAGATATACTTATAACAACTGCTCGCTCCGAATCGCAATTCTGGCATTAAATACAGAAATAGTTTACAAAGGGCATCATGTGCATGCAATATACATAAAAAGTCATTTTAATTCATAAAGTATCAGGATATTTTTTCCTGTGCAGTAGACAAAATTAGAAAAAGCTTTTGAATATAATATTCCATGCGTGGAGAGGATTAGAG